GACTTTCCCAAGGGCAAATACATAGAAAGTAAGAGTGCCTCTTCTACGGTGTGCTTTAGAGCAATGTTTACTCCTTATAACAATGTTTCATTGCCTCCTTACCTATAAGATCATTTCAGATTTCCTTCTTAAAATTTCGAATAATATGTGTTAGCATTGAATTATTTGACCTCAACTTATTTACAACAATTAAATATTTAAATTTTTATTTGTAGTTTGAGTTAAACAATATTAGAAAGATCAATTATTAATAATAATTATAATTAAAGTTATATCTTATTTTAAAAGATATGATAAAATATTCTAAAGTTGACTAATTGTAGATGGGAAAAACAAGCATAACTTTAATGAGAAAGTAACAAGTGATTTACATTGTTTTGGAGTGTTTGCATTTAGTGCTATCCAGCGTTTAGTAAATAGTCCAGTAAATCAATATAAATATTGTATGTCAACTCTAACTGAAGGAATTACATAGTAATAGTTTCGCTTTCTTGAAGCTGAGTGAGAGTTATTTTGTCTTTTTCACATCTCTAAGGATTACTGGGACATAGCAACTTGAGGAAGTACTCATTCTTAATGTGTTTCCTCCAAACCTAGTTGTTCATGATGCTTCTATGGTTAAGAAAATGCAGCCTGTGAGTAGAACCAGGTAGCCACTGAAACCTAGACATGATAGCAAAAGTCTTCACATTAGTTTCTTTTTTTCCTCTTCATGAAGAATAACTCTTTTTAAATTAGGAGGTATGTTTAAATGTATTACAAAAACTAACTCACTGCCAGCGAGTCAATGCTGACTCATGGCTACCCTCTGAGTTTTTCAATGTTTATGGGAGTTCTAAGCCCAGTCTTTGTCCCACCCAGCAGCTACTGGTGTTTTGAAACTGCTGACAATGTGCATCGCAGCCCAATCCATAACCAGTACACCACTAGGGCTCACTACACAAGATTGCAAATAATCCTGATGGTGCACTGGTTAAGCATTTGACTCCTAACTGCTCCATAGGAGAAAGGCTTGGAGGTCTGCTCCCATTAAGTTTGTAGCTAAGAAAGCCCTATGAGACAGTTCACTTCACTATGAGCTGGAATGAACTCAACAAGACAGAACAACCACACAAGGTCACAGCGTAAATGAATACAAGCGTCAGGATTTGAATAAGGTATTCTAATTAGAAAATCAGAGTCCCTGGGTGATGCAAACAATTAACATACTCGGTAGCTAACTGTTAGCTTGGAGGCTCAAATCCATGAGGCACCTTGGAAGAAAGACCTGGCATTTTACATCAGATAAATGAGCCATTAAAAACTCAATGTCAGCATGGAGTAGGGTCTGAGGGGGCGGCAGTGGAGAGGTCTGAGGGGGCAGCCCCAATTCCAACTACGTAGACACCAGACCCTCCCCCCAGAAGAATTTATTTCAGAGGACAGCACTGAAGCTGCAGCTCAGGGAGAGGGACATGTCTGATCAGAGCACACAGGAGCAAATGAAGGGAGAGGAAGACAGAGTGGAGCACATCCTAACCCACCATGCCTGAAGGACGATATCCCGCTCTGAACAGCCAGTGCACAGAGTGGACCATATGGCTAATCCCACTATGAGACATGACATCCCTCCCTTACCCATAGCCCTACAGGGGACAACACTGGAGACACAGTGTAGGAATGGCTCCTGATCTGATCCCACCACACCAAGGCAAAACACTAAAGGCGTGGAACAGAACAGCAAGGGGAACAGAACAAAGAAGTCCCCAAGGAATACCAAAAATAGACTTGGGGGCCAGGTGATGGCGCCACATCACACTCGACCAGAAAACACTCCTAAAGGCCAGCAAACAGACCTTGAACTAACTACAAGATTTTCTTTTGTTGTTGTTGTTGTTTTGTCATTACTTGTTGTTGTTGTTTTTGTGCATGTTACTATCTCCCCAGGTATGTCTAAATAAAATAGACTGGATGAACAATCTGAAGGAGAAAACAATGGGACTGACAGCTCTGGGGAGACATAGAAGAGGGGGAGGTGGAGGGAAAGGAAGTAGTGTTATCAAACCCAGGGACAAGGGAACAACAACAGATCCAAATCAGTGGTGAAGAGGGTGTAGGATGCCTGGTAGGGCG